AAGCTTTCACCACAGGCAATCGCTGACCTTATGTGAATCAGGGAGATATGTGCCACATAGCGACTGATTCAGCCAGACGTGGTGCTTCATGGCCTACTCTTAGCTGGGCATCTAGGGAACCGGAAACGTCGCACTCCTCAGCTTAAGAGACCCTGCTGGGGGATAAACCTCCGCAGTACTTCGCACTTCAACACCCACGGTTAGCCCCGTGCCACGATGAGGCGGTAGACCTCACGGGGAATTTCCCTACTATCGTATTCTATGGTTCACTGCAGGTGGTGCTCGGAAAGGGGCTAGTTATATTGCACTGCTAAATGTCGATAGCTCACTGTTTCTTCAAAGACTGTCATTGTAACAGGTCAACTGACTATATTTCCGTTTTCCTGAGTTTCTGAAAACAAACTGGTGAGAAACCATTCAAGAACTTTGTAACAATATTGACACTGATTCAAGTTTAATCGCAGTGCAAGCTTGATATCGAATATTGAAAATTTTCGGAAAAGTGACATTTGTTGTGGACCAATTTCAAACAAGGTTTTCCTTAAATTTAAATGCGTAATCATTGTCTGTATTCTTCGAAACTAAGGGTGAAGAGACTATGTGAAACGTGATGTTAGATCCAATCATCTATCTATAACTGATGCTAAAGATTCATGCCAACTTTATGTAAATTTGGGATATTTTGCTCCTGGAAAGGTCCGTATTACACATTGCACAATATGTTAAGTTATGTTTCAGGATTCTGCTTACCCATAACATGCCATGTGGATGCAGTTAAGTCGCTTGCTAATCGCTTCAGTGATGAATTTCTGGGCTTCTCTGAAAAATCTGAGATATTGCTGTCCATAGAGGATACCAATTGTCACGGTAGAAACGAGCGTTGGGAGCACTCTAAGGTTGACTTCTGACTTTGGAGGCCTGTTCCTTATTAGAGTGTCACTTACAGCGATTCTTGATCATCGCTACCACAACGATAATTCTACTTTTGCTCCTCGCAACAGTGGTGGACATCTATGTCGTAAACAAAGAAAGTGGAACTGCTGCCGAGATTGAAGACAATGAATGCACGTTCTCGGGAAGCGATTTAAACATGCGTGAGTGTTTTACGATTTGTTTTACAGAGCAAAGAGGTGGAAGTGATTTTCCGGCTTTTGCTCGTGCATTAGCAGAAAAGAAACAAACCCACAAACTTTTCTGTCCAATACAATTTGATAATTAACATATGGAAGTTCCTGATCGAAGCGTTTTTCAGCTTTTGATACGTTAGAAAAGGTCAACTGCTTTAATGCACCATCACTAGTGTTAACGTACAAGCCTGTGCCCGATCTCTCGCGTTCACTCGCCAAACCTGCCATTTTTCTAGATATTGTAAGTCAAAGAAACGATTTGTATCGGTACATAAGTCAGAAACGCGATCTTTTAGTTGTGCTCCTTCAGCGCACGTATTTCCCTAAAGCAGCTCTATCGGAATACTGCAAAGGATATACCTTGCTTGAATGGTCTCAAGGTTATCAGTATGTTATGGGTAAGTGTTCCTTCCAATATCCGTTTGATGTGATTTTAGTGAAATTATACTGATAAAAGCTTCACAACTCTGCTTTCGTTGTTTCTATAGAACCGTGACCAATTCGCCCTCATTGCATCTCAGAAATAAAAAGAATTAAGCTAGTGCGTTTTTTGTGTGTTCTTTTAGGTAATACTCGGTCATTCATCACTGTTCACTCTGCCATACATGGACAATCTCAGCACATTTCTCCCTGAACTTAAACAGTCGCGATGGGTTGCCCCAATACTCCTCAACTGCTCCCTGAC